ATACTGCGATGGGCATCGATGAGACTAATGACTTGTTATTTGTCCTCGCGCATCAGCTTACTTTTTCATTTTCAACTTCGTTCAATTTATATAATTTTTTAACGTTTTGAAAGTGCTTGTCATTATACTCTGCTACATTTAATATACGTTTTCTAGAACCTTCCAATTTATTCATAATGTTATATTTCTTCATATGTCAATATTATTCTCTTATCAGCTAAATCTCATCGGCATTTGCCTTATTTGGCTATTATCAACCTTTTTAATCTTCGAAGCTTTCTTATCTTGCTTTGTATAACGTTTATATAGCTGCTTAATTAATCCGCTAGTCCACATACAAACTGATTCATTCCTCTCTTTTATTGCAGACTAGCTGAACCCAGTTTTGGTTCAGCTGACTTGGAAGAGGCTTTATTGTCACCCAGTCAGGCTGTCGCCTTCTACAACGCGGTAAACCAAGCCACTGCTCAATTAGCGGCAGCTCGGAAAACGGCAATTCGTGCCGAGAAGATGGCTCGAGAATTGCAGGTAAGATGTTCCTTTTAATAATTGTTTAATTTCCTTATCATTATTACTGTGTTTCGATACTATCAGACGATCATAAATAGGCAATTTTCGATCCTCGCTCATTTAATGTGATAAAGGACCCCAGTTAAATTGTCACACGAAGAAATAAATATGCCTCATTGCCATTTTAGTTCACCCATTTTTGCCTTCAAATAGGTTTTTCCACTCAGTATTGACTACAATTTTTACCTAATCCAGGTCTCATTAGGGCACTCAACGTGATCTAAAATGCTCCGTGCGCATGATTGGGCGCCTAATTGTACTACGGAAAAGCCATGTGCGTGGGGTAAAGGCTGCAGTGACCTATATGGTCATGCCTTACTTTTGATGGCTGACTTAACGATGATTCAAAATCATATTTGAAAAGTTACTTATATTGATAATGATTATAATTTGATGCCAGTAATAGTTTACCAATAACAACTACACGAATATAGAAGCCGCAACTTGGTCTTGTTGTCAGGGCGACTTAGTAGAATGCACCTAGTCCGAACACAAGAAATTAAATGAGAGGCTATCAAACACGTTGAAACATTCATGCGAATTTTCTCAAAAAATAAAAAACTTGGCACTGGAATAAACGGAGGTATTGGTAAGTTTCGATGTGGAATCCATGTATACAAATAACTCTGGAGAAAATGCGTTAACGAACCTGCTGGGAATCCTGTACAGAGAAGAGGATATCCCGGAATCAAAACGGATCATATATGAGTCATTATCAAGACTAATTAACTTGACAATAAGGACAACCTATTTTACATTCAACGGAAACATCTATGTACAAATATTTGGACTTCTCATGGGATCGTCGCTCTCACCACTTTTAGCGAACTTATACATGAACAAGATTGCATCACTACAACCGGCAGTGCTCATGCGGTACCTGGATGATTACTT